AGTAAAAAAGTCTTTTTAAAAGTCCCCCCCCCCCCCGCCCCCAAACATAAACTTTTAATGATCAAGTTATTTGTAGACTGTTATAATGAAAGCAGTTTCCTCAGTATTTCACATTTTTATGTCCTCAAAAGTGATCAACTCTTTTTTGTTTTTGTGTGCAGTGAGAAAGAGAAGGCTTGAAGGAGGACCCATCTTTCCTAAATGTCGGACAAACGTGTAGCAGCATCAGGAACCCTCTATGGCCTGGGACCTGCATCACACCCGTCTCATCCCACATCCTCCCATCATTTCTGTCCCTTTCACAGATAACTCACAAAATCATCTAAAGGAAACATTCAATTCAGAATGCTGGAAACCCAAAGGTACCACCCTCTGTTTACCAGACACATAGTTACTCATGGCGGAGTGTTTTAAAAATGTGTAAACTACCTGCCATAACATTAGCAGGGAAAAATCACCTACTTGTGTTGATGGAAGCAGTAAAGATGAAAATGATGCTCAATTTATCACAATGTTCTCAGTTGACATAATCTTCACATTGTAAACAGTTTGACCCTAAAGCCAGCAGTTTTGCAGTGTTTGGATGCACGCCAAGAGCATCAGACTTCAAACTTGACTGATTGTATCTGTGGTTTTGCCTTCTCCGTGCCAGTTTGAGTCTCACTGTAGTTCTCGCACACATCTCGTAGAAGCATGTACTGTGTGTTTTTTGGGATATGCTATAATTTTGACCTGTTCTTCTGTTTAACAACTGGTAAATTACCTTCAATTTACCTTTAAATAACTTGCAATACCTTTATTGGTCACCTGACAAGAGTATAAAATCTAAGCTCTGTGTATTTGCACCGCTCCAGTATATTTATGAAATTATTTATATATTTTATATTCTATGTTTGATGAGGGAAAATTCTCTTTTTGATGTTTAGGGCAAGCTGTGTTTCATTTAACCACTTATCATTAAATGATTGTATACAGTGTTCTCTATAGTCTTCCTCATTAAATACTTTTTTACTTTTAAGTGAGAATCATAACACACAATAGAAAACTTATCATAAAACTATATGTGCTATTGCCTATGCCTGCTCTCATGAAGTCATTTCCAGGTTATATTTCACCCAAAATCAAAAGAAATTATATATATTAAGAAATTATTTTAGTTTTAGGATTTTGTCTGATTTCTCATTACAGTAATATATATATATATTATACATGTATATGTATGTATGTGCGTGTATATATATATATATATATATATATATATATATATATATTAGCGCTGTGCGATATTGAAGAAA